GGCTTTTTGGTACAAAGCTCTTGGCGGCCGAGCCAACGCCCCCTCTTCTTCTGACTTCTGTACCAGAACTTTCTCTTGACCGAGGATTTCAACCGGCCTGGAGATCACGGCTCAAAAGTCTTTTGCAAAGCGGCCTTCCGTATCAATATTCGAAGAAGAATCTCCTTCCCGTCAAAGAATTCCTGGTTCTCGTCAGAAAGTTGCAACCTCTCATGAATCGCCAAAAGTGGCTGCTCTGACGTACTACTGGTATGTTAAAGCCCACGAGCGTTCCCTAGTGAGCGCAAGCAGGAGGACATAAGCGATTCGATGCACTAGAACATTCTAGATTTTGAGAAAATATGTATTTTTATATGCATGGTAGGCATACAAAAAGTGACTTGGTAATTTGGACCGTGGGTTGAATAAGAAATTAATTGAGATATTTTGAGCAAAAGATGACTGATCAATTCAAACTTAAAAATCATCTATTGGTGAAATTATAAATCCTAGCTTCCTGTTTTGGTTTTCTTTTATCTAATGCTTAGTGAATGTTAATAAACAGTAAACACTAACAGGTTTATATTACTTCTAAGTGATAATACAGCACCATTGCATCGAAGCCTTGGCTGCGACCAGTCAGAAGGAAAATAGCCACTCTCGTCCTGGCTGGACCCAGCCATTGCTGTTGGAGGAATGAAACTAAACCCTATGTTTTATCCACCATTATAGCCCTCTAACTTTTGGTTTGTTTAATAATAGTGTTATTCCTATTTATTAATCTAAATGGAAGTTTATAATTAAAAACATGTTTATATTTTATAGCTACAAAATTAATTTAAGTGGTAAAATAAACTAGAATATGCTACTAATTTGCTGCATGTTGCTTGCAGCAATATTTGATTTACTTAATAGTAATATTATTTTATTTATTAATTTAATTGATAAAATAGAAGTTTAGAATATACTTTAGGAAAGTTTATAAATTATAAACACGTTCTTAAATTAATCTAAATGAATAACAACCGTTAGATGGTAGAATATTCTAGAATATTCAAGCATATTTTAGGTATCACTACTACCTCGGTTTGCTTAAGCAAATAAAAAATTGTTTAAGAAAGTTTATGAATTATAAATACATAATTAATTTGTTTGATGGTAGAATATCTTCGAATATCCAAGGATATTCTATATATATCCCTACAAGTTTGTTTAAAAATAAAATAAAATTTCAACAGTTTAGTGATAATTAAATTATACACGATTTGCCACCAGGTCTTGATCGCAGCTGCTCCAGTTTAGGCCACTCTTTGCAACTGCTGGATCCTGCTCAGGAGAGTTACTTGATCCCGCTCATGCCAGGACAGAAAGGTCTTCCAGCTGAGATGTGCATGTCTTGGGGAGCTCATATAGTACATGGAAGACATCCTTCACCTACACAGTGTACACAGCTGCCGATATTGTATAACTTAACGTCTTTTTATTTATTCTTTTTGAAAACACAGGACTGTTAAATACAAACCACACACAACCATGCAAAATATACATAGAGATGCATGTTATTGTAGAGACGTAATGCAATGCAAATCACAAACAACAAACACAATCATGTCTGGCTCATTCTTCGTCATAAAGAAGGATGTCTGAATCGATCGCAATGCTGTTCTGACCCTGGTCCCATATCGGAATCATGTTGTCAGCACCACAGTTCGCCTCTTTGGATTTGGTGTTGCAGCGGCACTGAGGAAACTTGTACTCACACGACCTGTTAGGCAGCACATTACGGTCGAGGTTATCCTTCTGCCGCTGAACCTGAGCTCGGCCATCCGGTCCCAGAGCGTTGATGCACGAGTTACCGTAGCAGTAGCATCCAGATACACCACTAAGGTTGCAATCCTTGTCAAGCCTGCAGCCCTGGCACTGGCGAACGCACTGATACTTGCCATTGCTGAGCCTCCGAAACTGCTGCAAGACAGTCGCGGGTGTGTTGAGCTGGTCCAGGGGACACTTGAAGGCGAGGAAGCCTTCATAGTAAGCCTGGAGCGCCGTCGCCACTCTCCACTCCTTGGACGCGGACGACATGTACTGAGACAAGACGGGCACCCACACTGGAAAGAAGCCGTAGCGTACTGCTTCCTTGCTCGTGGCTCCCTCCTCGATGAACTTCCGGATGAGATCGTTGGTTATGTCACCCGAGAGCAGCTGCGAGACGGTGGCGGACGATCCACCCCGGGCCTCTCGAGTGTCTTGCGTGTTGATCCCCTCCGCGGCGCGCATCTCCTCAAGAGTGATCCCCGCGCAGCCCTCCATGTTGGGGAGGACTCCCTTGAGGCCGGTGAGCTTGGCACAGGCTTTGGCCTGCATTTGGCGCTGGGTGAACGTCGCCGTGGAGGAGGCCACGGTCCACTGGCGCAGCCATGAGCCGTGGAACATCTCGGCCACGTAGTGCGTTCCCCACTTGTTCAAGAAGGATTGGTATGGCCCCCAAGCGCTGTCGGAGCTGGGTGGCTCGGGAAGGTTGCGCAAGTCACTGAGGAAATCAGAGTTGAGTGGGAGGGTTTGGATGGCCCTTCTATGGTCCCGGAGGTAGATCCTCTGGTTGTATGACTCCACAAACACGGAGGTGGTCCTGATGCTTGTCTTGCTCCCCGCAATCTTGTTGAACGATGCCTCGATGTTAAGCTGCAGAACTTTTATAGGAACGTTCATCCCAAACGTAACTCCAAACTGTGATCAACCGATCAGATTAGGAACTGCCACTGTTGCATGGCTTACTGATTTGTAGAGCTCTTCGTTGTTACTAGTGTGGGCATGGTTGTTTTTGACAGAGGTATAGTTCTCGGTCAGCAGGAATTCGTTAGCTCTCTCGTTGAAAATGGGCCTCAGGGTCCTCAACGGAGATCCCAGATCCGTGGTGGGAAGATAAACTCCATAACCAAAATGCACGTTTTGGGCAGCGACTACACACACAAAACAGAGATTTATATGACATCAAAGATGCACTCAAAGGACGATAGATGATACCTGTAGAAACATAGAGAACAAAAAGAACAAAGAAGAAAATTCCTGAAGAAGCCATTCTTGTGTGCTGCTTGAAGATTTTACCCTGGGTTTTATAGCAACCCAGGATTTCAAGCTGCCGTATGTTGTTTACAGACATAAGTAAAACGTGTGTGATTAACCCCGACGTTGTCTCTAGTGTTTTAAAAAAAAAGTGTGGTACGCTGTCAATGTCCCAACCCCACCAGACCAGAACAAGGCAAAGAAGATTAGCATGGCCCAAGGATGACACGCACAAATCGAGAAATGGTCCTAAATCAGAACAGGGAAAAGTTCTAACATGACGTCACAGCCGTGGAACAGTGTCTGAGTTATGAAGTACTTATATAGTTAAAAACTTATATAACAAACAAGCTTGCGGTATCTTTATTGAAATAAAAAAAATGAAAAAAGGTCTCGAGTAAAAATGGAACTCTCGACCTCAGAATTTCTACGCGCTGACCATCCCTTACAATTTTTCTAATCAGTAAACTCTCTTAATGATCAACATAGCTTATTGCCGCATTGATGTCCAAAACCCTCTTGAGAGAGAGAGAGAGAGAGGTCATCTTGAGATGAGTTGTGGGTCTTTCTCTCGAATGTGCCCAGGTAAGAAGAAACGAAGCTGTGATGATTCATGTTTTTCGCCTCCTTGTCTCTCGGTAGGAGGGCCTCCCTCTCAAGTGGGCTTCTAGTTTCCGGCAAACTAAGTGCTCAGTTATGCTAGAAACGAAGACTCTCGCAAGGATTCGGGCTACGTCTTTGTTTGAGCTCAACGACAATGACTCCAAAGGTTTTTCTTCTTTTCTCTTTGTTCGTTTCTTCTCAACATTATTTTCTTCTCGGGAGTGATTGGAAGTGCTACTGCTCTTAGCAAAGTATTGGTAAGTCTTGTTGTATCCCTCTCGTGTTAAAAATGTTTTTCATTCTTTGCAAGACTTTTGAGTTTTTTCTTCACCCCTTCCAGGGATTAGTTCGTGAGCTTGTTCTTGCTGCTGTATTTGGTGTTGGTCCTGTCGTAGATGCGTTCAGGTATACATCGAGTTCATGGTTCTCTTTGCTAAGTTCGAAAGTTTGTAGATATGCGTCCATTGTACCAGGATTTTTTCTGATAATCCTTGGAGGTATACAGTTTCTAGCTGAAGCGTCGAGCAAAACTCATCGTTAATTCTTACAGGAATCAATGGACCAATCCACATAGCAATGGTATCGGCCCTAAGGTATGTTTCGAGTTTCTTTCAGTCATTTTTTTCATCCTCTTTTAGCAAGATCGCTGAAGAAGACAGAAAACGAGAACTTATTGGAAGAACTTCGCATGCTATGTTTGTGGTAAATGAAAACCAGTTTTTTTCCCCTACCTTTACACCATCCTCTTTTTATCAGATATCTTTGGGCCTTGGCATTCTCATGTACACATTAGCGGCTTTTCTTATTGATGCAATCGCACCAGGGTAAGTTTTGAGCATTCCTTCTGTCGTAGAATCTCAAAAGCTTTCCAAACAGATTGTTATTGAAAACAAGCGGTGGATTGATCACGAGAAGGCTATACTTCAGGTAGCTTCAGAAGAAGAAAACCTCTAGCTAAGAATCATGGCGCCTTGTGTAACACTCGCGTGCTTGATGGGAATCGGCTGTGGAAGTTTTGACGAAGTTTTCTCGTCCAGTTTGTAGCCAAACTTGGAATGGGTTTTCGTGTGCAGTGTCTCGGGAAGATACGGGATTGCATCCTTGAGTCCTGCTCTATCAAACATATCGATCATTCTCGCTGTAAGTTTTGGTTACAAGACAAAAGATTCGTGTGTTCTTGACTGTGTTCTTGGCTCCATGCAGTCGCCAAATCCATGCAGTCGCCAGTCTTCATTCTCTTCTCATGTTTTTGACGAGCCTGTTGT